TATTTGCTAGTGAAATTAATGGTTTTTTTCTTGCAACACAATATTTTAATCCAGCTGAATGGAGGGTTCGTCTAATCGTCTTGGTCAATACATCTTGCCCAGTCTTCTTCTTCCAAAGCTGTTGTATTCCAGCTGCACATAGACAATGATTTTTAGTTTTTTATTCGTCACGATTTGTTTAAGGCGATTTTATTGTGAAATTGGAATTAAAGATGAACGTTCAGAATGATGCATTGATTTGGTTGATCTAGTATTACATTATTGAATACTAGTATTACGAACAGTTGATACTCTGCAGTCAACGGTATTAGCAATAGTCTGATAACTATCACTACATTGATAGTAATAAATTATGGATCCGTGTTATTTTGCAGTTAATTCTTTAGTTTTTAACATTTTTTTATTTAGAGTTTCAGAGAAAAAAATTTATTAAAAAAAATTAAATTGTTAATTTTATGTTTATAATATAAATAAACACTAATATGTCATATGATTGCAATTTGTTATTGCAGTTATATGACTTTTCTAGCATTAATTTGCATTTATAGAGGTGTGCGGATACTTTGTCTACTCTCTGTATTTAACAGAAGTTTTGCCAATTCTGACATCAAAAGATATAAGATTCTAACTTTACACGAAGAGGACTGTGTTATTCATAGTCAACTAATATTTTGAGTTTTGATGTTTATTACTCTGAGTTGAAAAATGTCATCATTTTCTTTGCTAAAGAAATAAACCCCTTTGCCAATGAAGTGACCTCTAAGAATCTAAAAACTGAACATTTACAATTCTATTCCAGAATTTATGATGATTATAAGATAAATGATACTTTTCAACAAACTTGTACGAATGATAAAATCGTGATCAATCCAAGCTGTCAAATTGAAGATGTACCAATAGTGACGATTAGAACCACTATATTAGAAGTTAGAGATTTAGGTACTTTGCATTATTCCATTTTCATTTTCCATTAATAAAGATTTTAGAGATTAACAATAACAGTATAATATATGCAGACAGTTGTTAAGTCGAATAACGTTCATGTGAAATTATCTGTAATAAAGTTAGATGAAATGAATAAATAGGTTGAGTTACCACCTCCCTTGAACGTTTTCAAAATGACTAACCTCTGAATTCTGATATTGATGTACCTGAACTGGATAAGAAACAAAAATCCAAACCTCCCAATGAATCCACCTCAAATCACTCAAAATCCTATAAATTGACATTGGATTTATCTATCTTTGGAGGGAATTTTGCGTCTGCTTTTTTAACCATAATAGCAATAACATTTAGAAAAAAATTAAGGCTTGGATAGTTTGTAATAACGAATTAAAGCAATGATGTATAAGATTATTTTTGGTCAACATTTTGTACTTTTATTTTATATTTCTCATATTTTGTATATTAGTTCATTTCTTGAAATTAACAAACATTCAGCATGCAAATTATAATTCACTTTGGTTTTGGCTAATTTTTTTCATCTTTTCCTAATTGAAAATGGAAATTTAATATAATTCCATGTAAATCTTTTTTTTATAACAAAAAAAAAGGAATGCTATTGTTGTATTCAGTTCTTTCGTTTATGTATTTATAATAATTCAGAAAGTACTTATTGGTAAAAATTAAGTAACTTTGATAGAATATTATCAAATTAATAAGTGTTGCCTCAATGTCAACTCTCTACACTTTCATTTAATCAATATTTTAAACTTTTTAGGAAATTCTTTCTGATGACCTTGCTACTATATTAATGGTATTACATTCTCATCACATGGTAAAGCAATATAATGATCCAACTTGGAAGCAATTGAAGAACTTGTTATTTTATTATTATTTGTTGATGATGATGAAGTTGCATTAATTCTATGATGTTTGCACGATTAAACTAATCACGTATTGTAATTTTAGTATCATCAACAGTAATTTGTATAGGTGAAGTTGGTAAAAGTAAATGATATTTATTCATAACAATTCGAAGATTATTTAATGCATCAGTAGTTGGTTGTCCATTTTTAAAAAATGCAAGTTTTGTACGTGGATCAAAAATTGCCGTAATACGAGTTGCTGAATCAATAATGTTCCAATATTCACCAATTTTTGATTAATTAAAGATGCTATCATTGATTAACTAAAATTATCTTTATCAATATATAATTGAAGATATTCTTGTATTTCCATTATTAAAAAATAAACATCAGCAATTGTTGAATATGATGCTGCAGAAAGCATAACAGTAGCTTTTTCTAATGGCTTTAATAAGGTAATTGTATCTTTTATTTATAAAAAATTGATTTAATTTTTGTATTTATTAATTAAATAACTAGATTCATAGTTATGGCCAGCCAGGGGCTGATATTATTAATACTTTTTTATTAAAATAAAAAATTTTATGATGCAACAAAGGCCTATTTTATTTATGTTTTATTTTATTACTAAATTATCAAGTTTTATTGTTTTCTTATTTTTTTAGGTTAGTTTCTTTACTCTTTCCTGGCTGTGAATAGAGGCAAGAGTTTTTTTTTGAATGGAACGGTCTGGTTCGTTATAGCAGTGAAGGTAAGCTGAGCTGATATTAATATATTTTATTTTAGTTTTTATTTTGTTTCTGTATTTTATGAAGTATTTTTGAACAATTTTTTTTCTTTTTTTTGTGATGTCTTTATTAAAAAGAAATCTGTTAAAAAAAAAATTGTTCGACAAACTTCCTGATAGCTTTATGACCTAAATAAAAAAAGAAAAAGCCTTCCCTAATGTTCATTATCGAAGGCATTAATAATTGATTGAAAAAAAACTAACTTCAAAAGAAATGATACATTATAATAATTGGTGTTCTATAAATATAATAAAATTAATTATAATAAATTAATTATAATAATCATAACTAATTACAATAATAATGAATTCATAAATTTTTGGAAAGAGAATATAAAAATTTAATTAAAATAAATAATAATGTCTAATGAATCATCTAATTACAATAATAATTATGAAATTGTTCATGAGGCAGGCAAATAAAGGCCTATTTGATGTTGAAAGTAACGATTTTTGTTGCTTAGTTCGAAGTCTAATTCTATAAGATACAAATTTTTTCATATCTTATTTCTTTCCACAATTCCACTAATTTTACTTGAGAATTCCTTTGATCTAGGTGGAAACAGGATGAAACTCTTTTCAATTTCTATGATTTCTTCTTTGAGAAAAGATTTTTTATTTTCAAACTGATAAATTAATCACTCAGTTTTAGTGTATAGATATTTTGCGATATTAGGCCATTATTTACAGGTTAACACAAGTTGAATATTCTAAAAATATTGACTTTAATAGATTTTTTGAAGTGTAAAACACTGGACTTTTTTGTATATATGATGCTTGTAAGGGTAAGAGTAATCATTTTTGTGCTTTTGCTTTAAATGTAAATAACTGCTAAAGATGTTTCAAGTCAGTTATGAAAAAAAAATTCGAATTTTAACCTAAAAATAATAATAAAAAAAAGGTATCTTAACATTATTCTAATTATGCGTTGAGTAATTATTTTATTACTAAAAAAAAAAAAAATTAATTTACGCTTTCAAGCTCTTCTTTTTTAGTTTTGACAAAGATATTTATTTTGTTTCACATCTTTATTATTTCTTTTTGGTATTTATTAAAATAATTTTTTTATCAAGTTTTAGCGTAACTCCAATTTGTAAGCCTTAAACTTTTTTTTTAAATTGTATACTTTATCACTTTTTCAATTTTTTTCTATCTGCATTAGTACTATTACATAACTTTAAATCCAGTTTTTTACAAAAATGAATTTAGTTATATTATGCATTTTTTAATTCATTATCTAAATTCATGGTTATGGCCGGCCAGGGGTCAGACTTATTAATACTTTTTTTATTATTATGAAAAAATGAAAATAAAAACTTTATGAATCATTAAAGACCTATTTTATGTTTTATTTTATTATTTTTATTTTAATATTTTTATTTATTTATTTTTTTATTTATTTAGGTTCGATCGGGTCCTTCTCTTAGGCTAAAAAACTGAACAGAACATTTGAATGGAATCATCTGGTTCATCATTGTGACAAAGGTAAGCTATCGATTTCTTTTTTTTTATGTATATTAATGATTTTTTTTATGCATATTAATATATATTTTTTTTAATGTTTTGTTTTATTTCCTTTTTATTTAGGTTCAATCAGATCCTCCGCTTGGGATAAGAACATTCAAAATGGAACTATCCAGTCTGTTACCATGGTGAAGGTAAGCTGACGATATTTGATTTTTTTATTTTATTTTTTTATATTTAATAATCTTTTTATTATTTGTGTTTTTTTATCTTTTTAGGATCGATTAGTTCCTTCACTTTAGCTAAGAACCAGACGGAATCTTTAAACAGAACTAACTGGCTCATTACTACGGCAAAGGCAAGCTGACAATTTTTTTTTTCTGTATATTAATATTTATTTTTTTTTATTTAATAATATTTTTATTAAGATTTTTATTTTTTATTTAGGTTCTTCTCTTAGGCTAAAAACTGAATAGAATCAAACGGAACTGATCAGCTCATTATCATGGTGAAGGTAAGTCGTCAATCTTCTTTTTTTTTATATATATTAATGATTTATTTTATATATATTAATTAATATATTTTTTTTTCATGTTTTGTTTTATTTCCTTTTTTAGATTTAATCAGATCCTCCACTTGGGTTAAGAACTGGACAGAATCCTTAAATCAGAACTGATCAGTTCATTACTGCAGCGAAGGTAAGCTGACTAATTTTTTTGATATATTTTTTTTTCTTTTCTTATTTCGGTAATTATTTTACTTTTTTTTAGGTTCAATCAGTTGGCTAAGAACTGGACGGAATCTTCGAACGGAACTGACTAACTCGTTATCGTAGTTAAAGTGAGCTGTTGAAATTGATATTGATATTGATATCAATATAAATAAAAACGGTCCTTATAGTTCTTGCATGAAGCTAACCAAATTATACCTATTCCTTCTTTTTTGAGAATTCTACTATATAAAGTAAAATCACCTGACATCAACATCTATATGGTATGAACTGTATATAGTATTAAATTATTAATAAATTAATCTTTCTTACCTTAATATTTATCCAACCCTCTACATCTGGAAGCAAATTGCTTATCAACTTCAAGTAAACGTAAGGCATGTTTCATTTGTTCAAATTTTTGTAACATATAGTATATGGAGTTCTATCTCATTTTCACATCACGTGCAGAATTCCAAAATTGGATATATTTAATTTGACAAAGATTACGAAGTGCATTACATATTAAAGTTGAATTTTTAAGTTTACTTATTACCGTATACTCTCAAAAATAAGCATCCCTCAAAAATAAGCACCCCCATATTTATATATCCTTTGAAATTAAGCACCCCGAACATTATATTAAATTTTATTAAATTCATATAAAAGATTATTATATTTACAAATAAAAGGGAAAAATAAGCT